CGCACCTCCCGGCCTCGCCACGCCTCGGCCCCGCGCCTGGACTCGGGGGTGCGAGCGAGGGGACGCGGGCGCCGGGGTCCCGGGGTCCCGGCGGAGAGAGTTTTTCTTTTACAACCCTGAGTCATGATTCAGCGTTTCTGTGTTAGCCCAGACGGGGAAGCCGAGCGCCGCCGGGCCCTGCGGGGTGGGTGGGCATTCGCCGAATTCCCGAGCGGCTGCCTCCGGGGCAGAGCCGGGCGCGGGTCCGCGCTGCCTGCTGCACGCCCAAGGCGTGCGCCGCGTTAAACCCCTCACTGCACCGGCAGAGCTGGGCAGGGCAAGCGGGCTCGGGTTTATCCGCGGTGTAATCTTCCCCAGGGGTGTAGGAGAGGCCCGGGGTTATGGCAGTGAGTGTTTGAGGAGGGGTCGGCTGTCGGCTGGGCTGGTACCTGACGGGTGGCTCCTGACTTAGAGAGGGAAACCATGGCAATTGGCACCGCTGCGGGGAACTTGGACTGGATTCTTCTCCTTAAAGTTTAATGTTCGAAAGGGTGAGAAAATGACGCATTCGACTCTGTATATAAACATTTGTCCTCTTGAACAGACCTACAACTTCTAACTTTGCTTTCCAAGTGTTTCTTAATGACACTTTAGGCAACATAGATATAAATGTCTCACATCTAGATGGACCCGAATTTTCATTTATTCCATGAGGGTTGATGAAGGTGTGGAGGTTCACAGCGTGAAGTATGCTGGACTTAACGCGGCCTCAGGCACCATCCTGGTCCTTCCTCCCAGCATTTTCCCTTTGAAAGGTCGGGACTGTTGCTGGAGGGCGGGAAGACTGTTTCCAGGCCTTGATTCAGGAGGATTTTAAGTTCGTCACAGAGATGGCAGCGACCCAGGAGAGAGGCGTGGAGAGGGGAGGAGGGGAGGTCCGTGATGAAGTGGAAAGTTAGGGTATTGGTAGAGGAGGGGCAGCAAGCTCTTCAACACTTGTAAAACGCACCTGGGCATCTGAAAGGCATTGCTGTTTTGATTGAACTAGCTGTGAAGGATCAGCTCTTTATTTATTTATTTTTCTTTGATACGGGTGGGTTCCGACCCACCTGTCCTCAAGAATGCGCGAGGAAGGGCTAAATCTGGTCTGGTAACTGTCCAGTATGCACCAAGTATTTGACTAGACACTTTACATGGCTACATCTTTACGACTTTTATTTGAAGTAGTTGAAAACAATTCAGGTGCCCCTTTAAACTTGTGCAGTCCATTTGAACTGTATCTTAAATGATGCTTGATTGAGCAAAATCCTTGGAAACTTCAGACCCACTGCAGAATGTTTTTGAGGGAATTGTACATTCCTGTACAGTTGTGAGGGATGGTATAGAAACCCCATGCGCCCCTTATTCATTTTCTAGTAATGGTTACATTTTGCATAACTCTAGTATAGTATTACAACCAGGAAACTGATATTGATACAGGCTACTCCTGCTTTTATTCAGATTTCACTGGTTTTACACGCACACTCTTTATGACCTTGGTAAGTGTGTATTTAGTTCTATGCAGTGTTATCGCATGTGGATTTCTGCGACTAGCACATGGTCAAGAGATGGAACAGTTCCCTCTCAAGGATACCTCCTGCTTCCCTATCACACCTATCCATAACCCCCACACTAATCCATAACAAACGTGGACTCTCTGTCTCTGTAACTTTATCATTTTAGTGTTATATGAGTGAAATCATGTAGTGTGTAATATATTGAGATTGGCTTTATTCCTTCAGCATGTATCTGGAGTTTCATTACCTATTCATTGTATGAATAGTTTGTTCCTTTTTATTGCTCAGTAATATTCTGCTGTATGGATATACCACAGTGTGCTTGACCAGTCACTGTGTTACAGATTATCTGGGTTGCTTCCAGTTTATGGCTATTAAAAAAAGCTACTATAAACATTTAGTTGCTTGTACATTTCTATTTCTTCAAGGAAAATGCCTAGAAATGCCCCACCCCTTTTTATTTTCTTTATTTTTGATACAGGTTCTTACTAAGTTGCCCAGGCTGCCCTTAGACTTGTGATCCCCCTGTTCTAGTATTGGGAATTACATGCATGTGCTGCCATCCCCCACTGTTGCTGCTCTTTATTATAGCCATTCTGGCAGTTGTGTGGTGGTACCACACTACATTTAGTTTTGTTTCCTTAGTGGCTAATGATGTTGAACATCTTATGTGTTGATTTGCCCTCTGTATAGTCTCTTTGTTGAATGTGACTTGGTGCCATTTGTCTATTTTTTTAGTGGATTTTTTAAAATGTTGAGTTTTGAAGATTTTTTGCCTAAGTACATGTCCTTTATCAAGTATGTGGCTGACCACTTTTTTCCATTTTGTAGCTTATAATTTTGTTCTCCTACCATGGTCTTTCTCAGTATAAAACTCAAACTTTATTAAAAGTAAGTTTATCATCTTTGATTCATTGGATGTATGTCACAAGTACTGCGAGCTAGACTCTCCTCCTTTAGGAGTAAGTGTAATTGACAGGATAATGCTTTGGCTGTAAGGTGCTTTGTATGTGTACTAATAGGCAGTAAAGGTGCTTGCTCATGTAGGAAGGTGCTAATCATGATTCTTCTCACATAGGAAATGAGCCAAAGTTGGAAAGAGGAAATAGGTTATCCAGAGCATCTACTTTTTACCAGTTTGGGGGGTACAGGTTAGTGAAAGATGAAGACAGTTCACCAGAATGTGGTTTGTGCTACTTCAGTGTAGCTAAGTTGGAATTATGTTCTCTAGAGTTCCTTTTCCAGGAACACCCTGCTGCCTTTGGGCATTTTCTGTGGAAGGTGGAAGCGCAGTGGCTGTGATCACACTCAGGTCGTTGCAGTCCGTACAGATTGTCGCAGAGTCCTGGCTGCCTTGCAGGGGGAGTGCAGCAGCTGAGCGTGGCTCCTACACTTTCCCCGGAGCTGTCTTCAGCTGCCTGCGGCGCTGGTGCAGGTATGTTGGGCTCTGCAGGAGAAGAGAGCCAGAGGTTTTGCAAGCCATTCTCACATTTGGTTGAGCTTCAGAGGCAGCTAGAAACCAGTGTGTGTCCCCACTCCTCCTGTGGGGTCCAGCTCATCCCACTTTTGGAGTGGCTGCCCTGCTGGCCCGAGTCTTCGGGTGCAGACACTGCCGACTGAATAGGAGCTCGAACCAGCTCCCACCACTGCTCCCACCATCAGCGCTCCACATCAGATCCTATTCTTCTGGATCATTCCTGGTGGTTCTGTTTTCCTGGCCAAGCCCTAAGTGATAAAAATGAAGTGTTCCTTCAAGTACATTTAGAATTCTGATGAATTTCTATTTCTAATCAAACCTTACATTCATTCTTTGCAGAAGATTGTGTCCAAGGGCATGCAGGAATATTTTTAGATCATAGTAGAGCAGAATCAAAACATCTATGAAAACTTAATCTGCAGCAGTAACCTTTTTTGCTTTGCTGCTTTATTCCTGACTGGCCATGACCTGTTTGCAGGTCTGAATTCTGGAGGAAAGCGTCAAGCTACACTGTAGACAAAATTGATGCAGAGCCAGACCCCTTGATTCCCAGAATTGCCCCTTTTTCAAATGGTTCTGGCTGATTTAAAAGGTACTTAGGTTTTTAATTTGATCCTCCCCCTTTGCTCTTGGGAAGAACCTCCTGCAGAATTGTCAGCAGTGCCTTCCCATGCAGTAAGCCCGTGAGGTTGGCTTCATAAGGAAGCACCAAGGAGTTTTTGATGTTAAAAACAGAGAAACAAAGGTAAATTAAAGGATCTTATACTTACGATTCTCCTTCCATACTTAGGGTATTAGATCATAGTTTGCTGAAAGTTTTACTTTATTGAAGGCTTTTTGGTGGTAATATAAACCATAGGAGAGAAGTGGGTGGTTTAAAATGTCAGAGCTAAAAAATAGAATATCTTAATATATGCAGCTGTAAGAATTTGCAGTGCTTTACTGTTTGATTTTGAGTTTCTTTGCAGTAGTTCGCATCTTTTAGTCATGAGCAGTGTGCCAACCATGAAAATAAAGCACTAGCCTCCATCTCCACACTAAGAGAAATAATGGAGTGTTGCTTTTGGCTCTGTCCCTTTTGATTTGACCTCTGTGGGGTGTCACTTCACTTTGCAACAGCTGTGGTGCTCCAAGG